AATGGCATGTCAGCTTTTAAATGTAGAGGAATTAAGATGACGCTGAATTGTGATGTCTGTTGATTGTGGCAATAAGTTATGAGCGAGATCCTGTCTCAAAAAGTCAAGGGTTGGGGATATAGTTCAATGGTAGGGTGGATGCAGTGAATCTTCCAGTGTGAGGGGCTGGTGAGGGGCTGGGGGCGTGGCTCAGTGGTAGAGCCCCTGCCTAGAATCCCCCAGTGAGGGGCTGGGGGCGTGGCTCAGTGGGAGAGCCCCTGCCTAGAATCCCCCAGTGAGGGGCTGGGGGCGTGGCTCAGTGGTAGAGCCCCTGCCTAGAATCCCCCAGTGAAGGGGACTGAGGCATGTATGTCTTAACTGTAGAGAGCTTGCCTAGAACCATCTAGGGAAGGCCTAGAGGCATGGCTCAGCAGTAGAACACTTGCCTAGAATCTTCCAATGAGGGTCTTGGGGTGGGCATCACTCAGGAGGAGATCCTGCATTTAATCCCCAGCCCCTCTCCCCCACATAAGAATCTAAAACCATTTATGTCAAGATCCATATCTGACTATACATACATCATATCCACATGACTAAATCATAATTCTGGCAAGAGGGTAACCGCTCCTTCCTGTGTACAATTCTCTGTGCCCATCTGGATTCTTGGTTGGTTTCTATGCTAGTCATGTCCTGCAAAATTGATTTCACCATCCACTGGCAGGTCACAGCCTGCAGACTGGAAAATACTGATTTGGCCCACTGGGAACAGAAGTCAGAAAACCGGCCATATCCTGAGTGGAGCCTTGTTTGTTTTGTCTCATCACCCATCAGTTGTTCTGTGATGCTACGTCTATGGGCACAATTCCTGTTTGTCATGTGCAGCTCTGACTGGCTGATACCCAGATACCCTAACCCTTGCTCTAACAACAGCCTTTCAGGGCCCTGAATGCATTTCAGGGGAAAGAAAGAGGTGACCCACAATGTAGCCCAGGCTAGCCTTGAGCTCTTTTTTTTTAATTATTTTTAATAATTTATTCTTATTTTATGTGCATTGATGTTTGCCTGCATGTGTGTTCTGTGTGAGGATGCCAGATCCCCTGGAGCTAGAGCTACAAATAGTTGTAAGCTGCCATGTAGGTACTCAGAATTGAACCCAGTTCCTCTGAAAGAGCAGCCGATGCTCTTAACCACAGAGACATCTCGCCAGCCCTGTCTTTATGTAGCTGAGGATGACCTTAAACTCCTGATCCTCTGTGCCTCCCAAGTGCTGGGATTATAAATGTGTACCACCAAGCTGGCCTCCTAGACACATTCCTATCTGGCCCCTCTGGACCTGTAGAGTTCATTGCAAAGGCATGTGCATGTATGTTTTCTAGATACTGAACGAGTAACCTTCCCTCTGCTGTTGCTAACAGTGAGACTATAGCAGAGAACAGCCAAAGTATTGCCTTTTAAATTTTGTATTATGTTTACTTAAAAAGAGCAAGCATGTGTGTGTGTGTGTGTGTGTGTGTGTGTGTGTGTGTGTGTACATATGGAAGTTGTGGTGCTTTGAATATGCTTGGCCCAGGGAGTGGCACTATTAGAAGGTGTGGCCCTGTTGGAGTAGGTGTGTCACTGTGGGTGTGGGCTTTAAGACCCTCATCCTGGCTGCCTGGAAACCAGTATTCTCCTAGCAGCTTTCAGATGAAGATGTAGAACTCTCAGCTCCCCCTGCACCATCCCTGCCTGGACGCTGCCATGTTCCCACCTTGATGATAATGGACTGAACCTCTGAACCTGTAAGCCAGTTCCAACTAAATGTTGTCCTTATAAGAGTTGCCTTGGTCATGGTGTCTGTTCACAGCAATGGAAACCCTGCCTAAGACAGAAGCAATCAGACAACTTTAGGGAGTTAGTTATCTCTGCACCAAGTGGGTCATGGAGCTTGAACTCAGATCATCAGACTTGGCAGCAAGCACCTTTACCTGCTGAACCATCTCACCAGTCCCCAAAAAAATTGCTCTATGGAACAGAGGTTTTGTTTTGTTTTGTTTTGTTTTGTTTTGTTTTGTTTTGTTTTGTTTT